AAACAGATTTGTACTTATTAAGGTATTTTACTTTTTTTTTTTTTTTTTTTTTTTTTTAAGTCAGGTTTTCACTATATAGTCTTGGCTGACCTGCGATTTGCTATATAGATCAGGTGGGCCTTGAGCCAACAGAGACCTACCTGCCTCTTGAGTGCTGAGATTAAAGGGTGTGCACCACCACACCCGGCTTGAATAGATTTTAAACATGAAGATTAACAGAGAAAAGAGGTCACTCAGAAAGAAAGGAGGACAAGCCATGGGCTCCTTAAGGAAGAGCTGCCTTGGTTTTGTTGTTGCTTCAGAGTTCCAGGTAACCCAGGCTGGCCTTGAACTCTCCATGTATCTGAGAATGAGCATGAATGTCAGATCCTCTTGCCCTTACCTTCCAAGTTCTGGGATTACAGGCATGTGTTACCATGCCAAGTTTATGCCATGCTGAGGATCAGACTCAGGGCGTTGAGCATGCTACACAAGAAATCTGCTAACTGGACCACACCCTGGCCTCAGCCCCCTTTGCAAAGAAAAGCTGATTACGGAGCCTAAATAGAGGTGCCACAAACCTTGGTACCGAACTCAGAATGTAGCCAGGTTGAACCAGTGTGATCAACATTGACATTTTTCTTGTTTTCAATCTTCCTGTTTTCTTTCTTACCCGCTTCACTTCTCACATGTGTACATGCGTGGGTATACGTACCTGTTGATATGTATTATACTAGTGTGTTGTGTGTGCTTTTATGTACTTATTAAAGCTAGACAAAAGTCGAGGCTCACTGATTGAACTAGCCAGCGCCCCCAGGGACCTGCCTGTCTCCAGTTCATCAGTGCTGGGATTACAAGTGGGTGACAGTACCACTGACTTTTTTTTTTTTTTTTTGAGGTCCCAGTGGATCAAATTCTTATTGCTGAGCCATGTCCTCATCTAGGAAGAGGGGAGAGGGGTTTTCTAGAAAGTAACCATAGTCATGTTGGGAAACCCAGGTCAAAATTGCCATTGCTAAATAATTTATCTCCATGTGTTTGTCCAAAGCAAAAATTAGCAGTCCTCATTTAAAAACTTATAAAACAGCAGTCTGAAGATTTCAGAAGACAAGAGGACATGTGTCATGGTGTCTCAGCCAGGCCTTCCCAAGCTAGCTCTGCAAGTGCCACACCTCTCTGGGAGGGTACAGATCGCTGTGTGGCAGGGACACAGAGGCAGCAGAAAGTCACCGGCCTTCCCAGCCATCAACACGGGTCAACACAGGTCTAGGCCCACATGAAGATGCTGAGGCCAACCAGTGGACAGCAGACATGTGGGGGCCACAGAAGAGGTGGCTCTGCAGGGACCAGGGTGTTCATCACTTTTTTTGACATAGTATCTCATTTAATCAAGCCTGGCCTTAATCTTGGTATATAGTCAAAGATGACCTTGAACTTCTGATCCCCCTGCCTCTACTCCTCACTGCTGAAACTACAGGTGTTCAGCAAGCAGTGTTAGAAGTTTAATGTCACCCTTAATACAGAGTTTTAGTTTGGAACATTAAGCAGCGCTTGCGAGAATGTACAATAGTTTCTGCCTCTGCTGCAAAATTAAACAGAATGCCACATGACCCAACAGTTTCAATTATGGATTATTTTTTTTTTTTTAGTACCCAAAAGAATCAAAAGTAGAGCCCTGCTGTCTGCAGAGCCCATATGCAGGGCAGAGTTACTCACTACAGTCAAGGGTGAGAGCAGTCTATGTTCACTGAAAATGAACAGACACATACATGCTCCGGGTATCCCTAAGCTTTGAAAGGGAGAAGAGCCTAAAAACATGCTGTAACTTAAGCTCCTACACAAGACACATACTGAATTTAACGTAAATGAAGCCCCTCACTTCCAGATTCAGACAAAGTATGTGGTAGTTCTAAGAGCTGGGAGAGGGGGCAGGGAGAGTTTCAGTTTCTGCGGGATGGAAAGAACACTACAGACGGAGTGTAGGGCAGCGTGAGAGCGAACCTATACCACTGATCTGTGTCTCCAAATACTCCGTCACAGTGAATTCATTTGCTATAGTTCAGTAAACAGAGCAACTGGAGGCCCCGGCCACAGGGGTTTTGTACAAACGGTTTATTTGCATTCTGACCCAGCACAGAGCCCACATACAGATCTCACTTATAAGTGCAAAATATGCTTTATTTCAGGTACAAAAACAACATGGGGTTATGACAACATGGGTTCCCGTGGCCACCTCCTCATGGCCTGCCACATACATTTGACCAATCTGGACCACCCCCAAAATCCCCCACCACCTTTAAAAAAAGAAATCACCTACCAATCTAGAGGAAGAAGGTAGGTGAGGTACATCTTGAGAAAGAATCGCTTTGAAGCATGGACACGACAAGCACCTAGTAAATAACTTTTTACCCAGTAAGCCTTTTACCCAGCAGGAAAAGATGAGTTAAGTGCATGAAACAGCCCCCTTTTGCTTGTTTCTAGTCCTAGCCCCACAAAGCTCTCCCAGCTGTCAGCCCAAGGACAAAGGCTCAGAGCAGCTCTGTGGAATTGGGCTTGTCCATATATGTGTACCAGATGTGGCCTGGATGAGACCTGGACTGGATGCCAGATACTCATCCTGGCTTAAACAAGCCTAGATCAAGGTGGGTTGAGATCTCGGAGCTACCAATACATACGTACCTAATATGTATTATCTTGGAGATGGGACTTAGACCTAAACACAAAATTGTGTTTTTGCATCTGCTGTACACATGGCCCAAGGGGAATTCTGTTTAAGGTTGTTTGGTTTATAGTGTTTTGAATGAAAGCTGTCCCATGAAACCAGGAAGTTCATCTGGGTCCAGGGAAGGCAGGAAGCTAGCTGCCCGCAATCACAACCCTGCACAAAGGGGCCAGCACACATGGGGAGAAGGCCTGCGGGCTCCAGAGACGCTAACAGGGCTTTGGGGTTCAAGGCACCTGCTGAAATCAGGCTGTCCTTCCCAGGACAGGTTCTGGTGAGCAGCCCAGGCCACCACATCCCCCACAGCTTCACAGCCCATGAATACAGCACAAAAGGCCTTTCTTCTATCAGACCCTGGCCAGGGGACCAGGACAAAGGCCGAGCAGGGTTCCAGGTAACAGTGAGCATTTGAGGAAGAGACCTCTGTACTCCCATGGAGAGGCTGGGCAGAGTTCGTAGGAGCCAAGTGAGGACCAGAACTTTCCAGCAGGGAGACACACAGAAGGCAAGGAACACTCTAGACTTCTTTGAATACACCTTCTACTTCTACACTTATGCAAAATGCATTTGCTATTTAAGATAGCCCTTAACATCTGAAACTGCCTTAAATGATCCGAAGGAGACAGAAGGCAACTTAGGTTAAGGGTGGCCGAGTAGTAGGGTGTAAGGTGCTTGCCTTGCATGCATGGGTCTCTCTGGGTTCTGGGTTCAAACTCAGGAGCTAGCTCAGTGGAAGAACACATGCCTCACTTGTATGAAGCCCTGAGTTCTGGGTTTGTTCCCTATCACTGCAAAATAAAACAATAAAAACACTAAAAATATAAAAAAGAAGGGGCTAGGGAGTAAACATTTCAGTATTTAAGGATCAAGAGGTAAAATTATGTTGGTAAATGAGAAAACAAAATTCTAATTTTTAATAGCCCAGACTAGCCTCAAACTCAGTCACCCTGCTTTCACTCCCAGCCTCAGCATCACCTCTATAATGTATTATTGGTTGTTTGGTGCTAAGGATAAAACCCAGGGCCTTGCTTATGTTTGGCAACTGCTCTGCCACTGAGCCACACCCCAGTCCCGCATGATTTAACATAAGCACTTCAAAATATAATATTGTAATTTCTGATGGCAGGGCTATCATTTCCCAATCTAGGTTTGTAGACAATGTTTTCTATTAACCATTTGAAGGCAAAACCAGACTGACAGCACAGGCTGCATTCCCATTTGCAAAGTTGAAGGGGAACCCTGAAAGGAGAGGAACACAGAGCTCTTCACTCTAGCTCTTAAGAAGAGCCTGATGGCTCAGGCCAGAGTCTGTTGGCACTTTACCATGGGGTAACAGCAATACCTAGAGGGGGCTCAGCACAGTCTACTGTAAGCCTGGTGGGGTTGGGGAACAACAGGAAGGGAGCCTGGGTGCTCCCCAGGATCTCACTGGTTCTCAGGCCCAGTAACCCCATCTTCAAAGGGTGAAGAGATGGGAAGAGGAAAGAGAAAAGGTATGACCATTCCATACTGGCCAAGGAGACCACTCTAAGGTCCACACCTACACACAACACACGTTATCCAACTGCAGTGGGGAAGCCTGGGGCTTGGTGAGCGGGCATCCACTAGGGCTGACTGCAGCAGCACCGGTGGCACTTTGCACACCTAGGACAGGCAATGTTCACCTCTCTATTGCATGGCTTCGATGAATAGGAAACAATGCTATAAGTTGTGTCACAGCTCAGATTCACCTACTGACTACAGACTCCAGGTTCTGAGGTCTCCAAGTCAGTGTTCCTTGTTCCATTTGGGGGACAGTTCTGGGGTTCAAACCCAGGGACACTATCAATGGGCTATATTGCTCACCTTGTACTAAAGGGAGACAGTCATTCATGATGCGGCCTGGGACCCTTGCCTTTTGGTCGTGCCCCTCCAGTGTGCCTAAGGGAGCTACCACATTCAATTTCCTTTGCCCCCACAACCTCAACTTTCCACTGACAACAGCTAAAGAGCCTTTCTATTTCTTCCACCAACACGTTAATGATTTTCAGACTCCAGCCACTTGGGCCAGCCCCTGAAGCAACACTGGACTTAGGAACTGGTGACGTGCTTGTGAGTTCCAGCCCTTTCTTGGTTAATAGCTCTCAAGGGGCTCCAGGCAGACTGGGTAAGAGGTCACTAGGGCAATGTCTGACCTTTTCTAGACCCCCACAATGACTAATCTTGATTGTCAACTTGATGGGATTTAGTATCACCATGGAAACAAACCTCTACTTTTGTCTGTGAGGGGTTTTCTTTTCTGGTCTTTTAATTTACTCAGCGAGAGCAAATATATATTCCCCCACTACCAAAAATTATGTGGTCAAGTTTCCTGTATTTGAGGAACTCCAAAGTCAGCACACCCAGAGTGCAAAGAATAAGCCTCGACCCGCGACGACCATCTCCTTGATCATAGTCTCTCCCCTGCCGGGTTAAGTATGTGAGGAGTTTTCTAGATTAGTTAACCGAGGTGGGAAGACCCACGCTGAAGTTTCATGGGCTGAGGTTTTGCACCAAATAAAAAGGAGAAGCTGAGCACCCACCTTCACCTGCCTTTGCTTTTTTGCTTTTTGACTATGGATGCCTTGTGACTGGCTGCCTCACGCTTCTGCCACCAATTTCCCAGCCACGACGCTGTACCCTCAAACTGTGAGCCAGAGGAAAAAAAAAACAACAAAACAACTTCCTTCTGTAAGTTGTTGTTTTTGTTTTTGTCACAACAATGAGAAAAGTAATACAGACCCCAAGATGAGACATGAACTGCCCATGCCATCTGCTCTTTCTACAGTGTGCCATCTTTTGCTCTCCATTTAGACCACTTTGATATGGGACAGAAAAGTATCAGTTTAGTCTTTCCTCATATGGCCCATGTAGAGACATCAATTGGGTACAAGGCCACAGATATCTTGATGGGCTGAAAGTCAGAGGCCCAAAGTCTAGTCCTATTTCCACCAGTGTCTGACCTTGAGCAAATATTCTAAGTGACTCGGTTGCCTTTCTATCCAAGCATGTAAATGTTTGGTTGTGACCTTCCTCTAGAATTAGGGAGTGGTAGGCCATGCACCAGGAAAGATGGCAGAACGGGGAGGCGTTACCCAGTCCTGCTGACAGGAAGAACAAAAGGGCAGAGGAACAACAGACCCAAATGCAGACTGTGAAGGGGAAAGGAACAAGAGATCAGCAATGGTCCCACCAGGCCCCCAGAGATCTAGTAGGAAGTGACTGCCTACGGGAGATGCAGTCCTTTCAGTAATTAGGGCTAAAAAGCAGATACTCACATGCAAAAGGAGGAAACTGGACTTCCGAGCTACATGCCATACATGTGAAAGTAATTCAAACTGGAGCAAAGCTCATGGTAACAACTAAAACCTTAAAAGTTCTAAGAAGAGGGGCTGAAGAGAGGGCTTAGCTGTTAAGAGCACTGGCTGCCCCTCCAAAGGACCAGGGTTCAATTTCCAGCACCCAAATGGCACCTCACACCTGCTTGTAACTTTAGTTCCAGGGGATCCAACACCCTCACACAGACATATATGTGGGCAAAATGCCAATACACAGAAAAAAAATTAACATTACATTTTTTAAAAGTTCTATGAAACAAAGATTTTTCTGGGTTTGCATTAGGTCATGGTGTCTTAGCACCCATATCAAAAGCATGAGCAACAGAAGGTAATTCAGGCATCACACAAACTAAATAAATAGTAACTGGTTTTTGAGACTGGGTCTCACTATGTAGGCTAGGCTGGCCTTGGATGTGGAAACCTCAGCTTTCTGAGTACTGGGAGTGCTGATTCATACCACCACGCCCAACCAATTTAGAAACTTGTAAAGCCCATGGAACATCAATCATTAAGAGGATGAAGACAACTTACGGAATGAAGAAAAACTGTAAAGGGTTTGCACCTAGAATTTACCAACAACTTGTATAAGTCAATGAAAAGACACCCCAATTTAAAAATTGGCCAAGGACTTGAACAGACATTTCGCCAAAGATATACAAATAGCCAATCAATATGTGAAAAGACATTGAACACCATTAACCATCAGAGGCATGCAGGACACCTGCAGGATATTCAGCATAAGGGAAGTGACTCAGTTGGTAGAGCACTTGCCTAGCAAGCACAAAGCCCTGGATTCTGTCCTGCAATGCATAAATTAGGTGTGGAGGCACTTTCTGTATGCTTATCACTCGGGAGGTAGAAGCAGGATTATCAGAAGTTCAATATCCTCTTTTACCCAGTGACTTTTGAGCCCAGAATGGACTACATGGAAGGGAGGAAGAGAGGGATGGAGGGAGGGAGGGAAGGAAAGAGGGAGGGAGGAAAGGAAGGAAGAAGGAAGGAGAGCAGGCAAGAGCGATATCACAGCAAATGTTGGTGAGGAGACAGAGAAACTAGAACCATCCTCCATTGCTGGTGGGAATGCAAACAGGTGCAGCTAAGTGAGAAACACTGGGCAGTTCCTCAAAGAGGTGAACAATTATCTCAGGAGCTATCCACTCTACTCCCAGACAAATTCCTCAAATGAAGCTGTCCACAGGAAAGCCTGTGCCAATATGTTCACAGCACCAACGTCTCACTAAAGCTGTCAACCCCACCCACACAGTCCCCAAAGACAAGGAACTGAGAGCTCCACTTCACTGTAAGTTTCTCTGCCTATAAAATAGGATTTTCCAAAACCTGATGATCTTTGAGCCTAGCAGTATCTCACCATGGCTCAGGGTAAGTTGAATTAGGAAGGAGTTGAAGCTTTGGGCAGGCATAGATAACTGGCAAAATGAAGGTGAATTCTTACATCTACCACAGCTCCTGATCCTCAAACTCCCCCATAGTTAATAATGCTGATTTAACCATACCAACAAAGATAAAATAACCTATATATACACCTACAGCTGGGAAAAGAGGATCTTAAATCAAACGGAGCACTGAAGAAAATACACTTCCCCTAGACAACTTGGCAAACAGCAGTACTTAGCTGAGGCTGTCTCAAAAACGGAATGGCCTAAGTCCCGCTGGTTGTAGTAATGGGATGGTACCCAGTGCCTCATGCTTGAGCCAGGCAAGGGGTCTACTGAGCCATAGCCCAATCCCAAAGGCCTAGAACCAATGGTCAAGGCCACTGGGATACAATGGAATCATCACTTCTTTAGTACTCTTTACTCAACAGGAAAGAAAGTACACTGTAGCAGCCCAAGAGGAATCATTTTGTTCTCATGCTTCTCCTAGTCCACAGCAGCTGTGGGAGGTCACACAGGGCAAAGCATTTGGTTTAGATGAGGAATGTATCCCAGAGGCTTATGTTTTTGCGCACGTGATCCTAGCTAGTGTTGTTGTCTGGGGATGTTATGGGACTTGAGGAGATGCAGTCTTGCTGGAGAAACTTTATCACTGGGGTGAGCCTTGAGGGCTTGTAACCTTGTACTACTTCCTGTTCTCACTCTCTCTCTCTCTCTCTCTCTCTCTCTCTCTCTGCTTCCTTATGTGTATAAAAATGAGATCAATTAGCTTTCCACTATGTACCTTCCTCACCATGATAAGGAGTCTACCCCTACAAAACGCTAAGCCAAAATAAGCCGTTTCTCCATTACATTGCTTTTGTCAGAGTATCTTATCACAGTAACAGAAGAGGTGTCCACGAGAGGTCACACAGGTGCACTTTGGCATCTGCCATGTCAAGCCTCCGGGCTTGAATGCAGCAGAGCCTTAGAAACAAGGCAACTGAGAAAGAGGAGGAAGGCACAAGATAAATAGCCCCAGTCCTACTGGTTCATCCATGGACAGGAGAGAGAGGCCACGAGGGTCACTGAGAAGGGAAGTCAGTATTAGAGTAGGAGCGCTGTGCAAGGTGTCCCTGTCAGGCTCGTAGAGCTAGCCATGAAGCCAGGGGTTCAAGGAGGGGCAGGACAGGGTGAGGCAGGAAGAGCAGTCAGGAGAGACCAATATATATCTAAGGGGCCTCCAAATGCAGGGTACAGGGTTTAAGAGGTGCAGGTCCCCACTATCTGCCTGGGAAGCAGAACAAGAAACTGGTAAAAAGCTAAAAGCCAAGAAGAAAAGAGTAGAGAATAAGTAAGTGGCTTTCTGCATGCCAGACTTTGTGTCCATGGCTGTCTGTAGCTTTCCTGGTCTGGGCAGAGGCCCTCCTAGTAGGAGCTTGTGAGATGAGACAGCAGCTGACAGCGGTGCAACGTCTAGAGCCAGGGGTCCATGGGGCTGGGGGCAGGTGCAGGTCACTGCTGCTCAGAGTCCACACTTCAGGATGATGTGGTAGCCGTCATTGCTCTCTGCTGCAAGATAAACACTGGGCATGGGCATGGGCCACAGGAAGAGAGGTGGTACAGTGGGGCTTGGGGTTCCCAAAAGGCATATATTAAGACAGAGGCAAAACCACTCAAATAGCTACATACATAAGGAATTATGAGTCTGTTCACAGAAGCAAGGATTTCTACACAGGCTTTGGTACCTGTCTTATTACTCTCTCTCTCTCTCACTCTGTGTGTGTGTGGGTGTGCTTGTGCTTGTGCTTGTGCAGAGGCCAAAGGACAATCTCAGGTGTCATTCCTTAGGAGCCAACTACCTTGTGTTTTGAGACAGGGTCTCTCATTGGTCTGGAGTTCACCAAATAAGCTAGGCTGGATTCTGTCTTTGGCTTACCAGTACTGAAATGGATTATCCAAGCATGCACCACCAATGCCCAGCTTTAAACAACAAAAACATGGATTCTGGAGACTGAACTGGGGTCTTCACGCTTGCACAGCAAGCAAGCACTGTATTGACAGGAAATCTTCCCAGGTGCTCTGGGTTTTTACAATGAGCCTTTTCAACATAGCCCTAGGCCCAAAGTGGCTTTAGGCAAACTATGGCTTCTTGCAATACTGTGACTTGGGCTCAGGGGCCTGTAAAATTCATTGTCTATGCTATATTTAGAATCCTAAGGCCCCTGCTGTGAAAAGTTTAGTCTCCGGCTTAAACTAGTAAATGATGATGGGACCTTTAAGGGCGGAGCCTAGTGGGGGAAAAGTGACCTCAAAGAAGACATGCCCTTAGCCGATCACTAACTCTTAGCTCTTCCACTTCCTCCACTTGCCTGTTCTCTTGAAGTGAGTGGAGCAGTTCACCACACTCACACTACCACATGCTACCTTGCCACAGGCCCAAATGCAACGGTGCCAACTGGCCATAGACTCAAACCTCCGAAACTGAGCCTCAACAAGCCCATCTTCATTTCTGATAATTTCATGCACTGTTACAGTAACAAAAAGCTAGCATAACCTACATTTACCGAGCGAGCTGGGAAGTAGTTACAGCACAGTCTGGCTCTTGATCTTCTTTAAGACTTACTGTACTCTTAATTAGGTATATGTGTGTGTCTATGTGCAGATAAATGAAGTACCTGCAGATCAGAAAAGGGCTTGGGATCTCCGGAAGCTAGAGTTGTAAGTGGTTGTGAACCACTAGGCATGGGTGCTGGGAGCCAAACTGGGGGTCTCTACAGGAGCAATATGTGCTCTCATCCAATGAGCCATCTCTCCAGCCCAGTCTTCCATCCTGATGAAACCTACCCACTTACCCTCCCAGACCCACGAAAGTCACAGCAGGCCTTTCTGCTTTGTGTGAATAAACACAACTCCTGCCACATAGGCTCGCTCACTCGCTCCCAGAACAGTATAGAGAATGTCCTGGCATTCTCTAGGACATTTGGCTCAGATAGATGCTCCAAGTCCCTGACTCACTCTGCCTGTCACTGTAGTCCTTGCTTGGGCTTCCCAGAGACCTTCTGTGAAAGCTCAAACACCAAGTTAATGGAGAACAAATGGCCAGGCCTGTGGTGTCCCTCAAGATGTCACTTATTCTGGCATGGCTATGACTAAGTATGAGAAAGCTTGGATTTTTCTTGCTTCCAAAGGCTGCTCCAAGTTCAGCATCTTCTGAAGGGACCCTGTACAGGCAGATTCCACTTGCTCCCCATCACCCCTAACTCCAGGGGACATAGACAAACAATTCATTCAACAGGAAGACAGGGACAAACTTACCTTTCAACGTGCTGAGGATAAAACAAGACTCATCTTGGAAATTCTGAACCATCTGAAAGGCAAAAGCAAAACATGTTCTTCTCATCTTACTGACATTTTCATATCATCAAAAGGCTTGATGAGGGTTAGAGAGACAGTTAATAAAGTGATTGCTGTGTGAGTATAAGGGTGGCACCAGAGAGAAAACAACCAGGTTCTTTTTTGACCTCCACATACCCACATAGCAAAATAGAAATTAGTAAGAGATAATAGATGGACGTGGTGGTGCACGCCTTTAAACCCAGCACTCCGAAGGCAGAGGCAGGTGGGTCTCTGTGAGACTGAGGCCAGCCTGGTCTACAGAGCAAGTTCCAAGATAGCAAGGACTACACACAGAAACTGTCTCAAAAAAACCAACCAACCAACCAACCAAGCAAGCCTAAACACAAAACCAGGCACAGTGGTATATACTCTTGATCCCAGCACTCAAGAGGCAAAGGCAGGCAGATCTCTGTGAGTTTGAGACCAGCCTGGTGTACAGAGCTAGTTCCAGACCTGCTAGAATTACATAGTGAGAGATAGTGAGAGACTGTCTCAAAAACAATCAACAAAATTAAACACAGTCACATTCCGCCACCCCCCCCCCCATGTCCCATTTGGGTCAATAGAATACATATATAATTGATGTAGCTGAAAAATTCTCATTGCTTAGTGACATTGTCATCCTGGTAACACAGTAGCACAATTATTCACGTCTGTGGTGAGGTTATAAGCACCCTACTATGTTGCCAGTATGGTACAGACGATGACACACAGCACACACTTGACAATGACCCTAAATGATCCCGCTCACCGTTTTGCGCGTTTGACACACCATCCTTTGTGTTACTGTTTTAGAGTGTGTTCTCACACACCAGGCCACTTGACTTCATTGGCACTGTGTTCAGGGACTGGCATGTTCTAGCCAGGTATGAGTGCCTGTATGATAGATAGGGTGCTTCCACCGACCACACATTTCCCTGACAGCATCTCATTGTTCACATGACTGTAACATGTTTTTAAATGTAATTTGTGCCTGAATGCAAAATGTCCTCCCTGAGCCATGTCTATAAATACTCAGTCCAGAGCCAGTGGCACCATTTGGGAAACTTGTGGACCCTTTACGAGGGGGAGCCTTGTTAGAGGAAGGGGATCAATGGGTGGGTCTTGAGACTTTATAGCCTATAGCACCACACCCCTGTTCACTCTGCTTCCTGATGGCCCCATCGGCCTGCCCTGCCCCTGCTGCCATACTTTCCCCAATAAACTCTGCCTCCCTTGCGTTGTTTCTCATCAGGTATCTTGCTACGGCAACAAGAAAGTAATTAATAGTGATGAACAGGTGTGTGTTAATGGCTTAAAAGGACCAAACAGAAAGGAGCGACTACGCCCCATACGTGCAGGGAAAACAACTGGTAGCCACCCTTTCGAAGCTCTCACTAGAATTTCCCAACAGTGCTCACAGGAAAATCTCTCTGGTTCCATGGAGCATCTGTAAAATGGAACATCCTGATGACAAAAAAGTGAGCAGGATGTACAATGGGAACTTGCCCCTCTGGAGGGCCATCTTTTAAACACTTTATCTCCTGAATGTCATCCCTTAAGTTTTCTGCAGGAATGTCCCCTAGACAAACCCCTTCACATGTGCACCAAGATGTGCAGAAGAACCTTGAGAGCAACGCTGTGATCACACAGAGCTTGCACCATGTCTGGTATCCTCAGCGGCAGGAGTGTGAGCCCAGGGGGAGCTAACCATTCATGGTGCTTGGAGGCAGCAACCCTTGGCTGAGTGTGTCAGCTTTCTTGAATCACAAGCATGGTGGAGTGAAAGAGGAAGCATGGAGGCATACATGGCTACCCCGCACCTGTCCAGTTTTAAAATAGGCTACCGGGCTGAGGAGGTGGCTAGCTGGTAACGTGTTTGCTTTGCAGGCACCAAGAGCCAAGTTTGATCCAAGTTTAAAAACCAAACAAACAAAACAGGCTCAGTGTTGCCACTTTTAACCCCAGTGCTGGGCACATGGAGACAAGAGGATGGCTGAGGCTGTGACCAGCCATCACAGTCTACTTGGCCAGCTCTAGGACATGAAGGGACTCTGTTTAAAAAGTCACGGTGGGTGACTGAGGAACGTAAGGACCAACAGCCAAGGCTATCCCCTAGTCTCCACAAGCACATGCCACAGGTGTATTGCCCCTTGAGTAGCATGTCAGGGAGAAAGAGGAAATGATCAGTATAAAATACACATGGACAGGCAAGGTCCAAAAGGGGCTTGTAGCCATCTTATTATTCTAATAAGTAAGTGAATACTTAAGTGTGCAAGTCAGGACCAGTGGGTAAAAGCACCTACTATTCTATATTCTAGCCTTGTAAACCCAAGTTTGATTTACAAAACCCACACACAATGTCCTATGATTTCCACACATATACTGTAGCACACAAACACCTGCATGTGCACGCACACACACAAAAGTAAAGTAAGATTGAAAAACAAAGTGTGCATTAGTTATAGAATCTTTACGTGAGTATACTACATTTCACAATACACGTTCAAAAATAGTCAAAATATAAATATATACATAACTGTACTCTAAAACTAAAAGGGTAGTAAAGACCCTTTCTATTAAAAGGAGGAGGAGGAGGAGGAGGAAGAAAGGAACCCAGTTTTTACTGCCTGCTCTGGATTACTGCCTCATATCCTACCAGTGCGTTTACCTGCCGACCCTGGCCCTCCCTGCAGGGCCTAATGGTGCATGAAGTACATTTATTCTATACCTCGGCCTGCTCCAGCGTGGACTCTTGGCCGCCCAGCCACTTGGGCATGAAAAGCCCTAAGCGGGGCCCACCAGGGCTTAATCAGTAACTCCCGTGTTTAATGGAGTGCCCTTGCACCCCAGGGCTGGCTCCTCGCAGGCCGGGCAGCCGCCAGCACTCTGAGTAATTCAGAACTCAAGGTTTCCAAATTGATTCAGGTAGAGTGGGAAGGAGACTTGGGGAATGAGAATGGCCTATTTAGCCAAGGTGGCGTTTGAGGTCTGCTCTCTGCTTCACTTGCTTAACTGCCTGCCGCTGAGGGCACAGGGCAAGTGGGGGAGGGACTTCCCGGGAAGTCGCAAGGCACATTCGTGGTTTCTGTCTTCTCAAAAAGAAATTCTCGAGGGTCTGAGCATGTGGCTAGAGTGCCTGCTTAGCTAACATGGACAAGGCCCTGGGGTCCCTCTCCAGCACAGCACTGACCAGATGTGGTACCACAGATGTGGTACAGAACACTATTGTAATCCCAACACTATAATCCCAGCACTGGGAAGGTGGAGGTAAGAGAACCAGAAAGTCAAGGTCACCCTTGGCTACACAGGAAGTTCAAGGCCAGCCTGGGTTACAGATCTTGTCTCAAACAAGCAATTCCCTTCGAGGCGCAGAGCGACATGCCTTCTATTCCATTAGAGTGGTCTACCATTCAAAGGCTCTTAACCTCCCAGTTCATTTAGTCAGCTCTACAGGCAGCAACTGCTGGGTCCATTTTCATTTTCTGTGAAATGGGAGCATGTGCATGTGTGTCCACTATCTCTCTAACACTGGAATTACACGGGTATACTAACATGCCCAGCTTCTGACATGGGTTCAGGACATTGCGCTCAGCTGCTCATGATTTCAAGGTGAACACTTTACTGAGTGAGCCTCTCCCCAGACTGAACCTTTCTTCTTTATTTTTATTTTATTTTTTAATATTAGTTACAGTTTATTACTTTGTATCCCAGCTATAGCCTGCTCCCTCATTCCCTCCCAATCCCACCCTCCCTCTCTCATCTCCTCCTTGCCCCTTTCCAAGTCCACTGATGGGGGAGGTCCTCCTCCCCTTCCATCTGACCCTAGCTTATCAGGTTTCTTCAGGACTGGCTGCAATGTTCTCTCTGTGGCCTAGCAAGGCTGCTCCTCCTTCGGAGTAGGGGGGAGGTCAAAGAGACAGACATTGAGTTCATGCCAGAAATAGTCCCTGTTCCCCTTACTAGGGAACCCACTTGGATACTGAGCTACCATGGGCTACATCCAAGCAGGGGTTCTAGGTTATATCCATACATGGTCCTTGGTTGGAGATACATACTGGGAAAGAATCTTCACTCTATATCTGACAGAGGGCTGGTATACAGAATATATAAAGAACTAAAGAAGTTAAAAATCAATAAGTCAAACAATCCAATTAAAAAATGGGATACAGAGCTAAACAGAATTCTCTGCAGAGGAATATAGAATGGCAGAGAAACACTTAAAGAGATGCTCAATGTCCTTAGCCATCAGAGAGATGCAAATCTGAACCTTTCTTCTTAAATTCATAATCCCATTGCAGTGCCAGAACTCTGACCGATACAGTGCCATGCACACACTTGCTAGTTGGAAGTGTCCGTAGAAGGAAGATCCAGGACAGAACAAACCTAAGATTATCTTTTCATCGTGGGCAAAGGATGCCCAATTTGGCAGGCAAATCTGCTCAACACATCACTCCCTACAGGGCTTGGGGCAAGGTTCCAACAGGGCTCTGTCACTTCCTGAATCTTCTGCTAGCAACTATTTCTGCCTTCCACAAGATTGTGTTGAACAGCAACACAGTGGCACGAACCTTCACCACTGAGGGAGATCTTGCTAGTGTCTCCCATGGACCACAGCTGCCCCTCATTTAACTCCTGGCCTCTCAGGACTTGCCCCACACTTGATGGGTGGCACATTCTTCAGACTGTGTATGTGTCCCAAGGGCACCCAGCCAGGGACACTTGAAGCAATCTGTCCTGTTCTCTGAGCTTAACAACCATCAGCATCTTAGTCACGACAGCTATGACTACCCACAAGAGACCCCCAAGATAAAGCCTGCTGGACCATGGAGACAGCAGATCTAGGTAAAGGCGCTTCACCCTAAGTCTCCGCAGTGGAAGGAGAGAAATGACTCCTGAAAGTTGTCCTCTGTATGTACGGTAGCACCCATGCACCATCCACCCATCTACGACTGCCCACAAAATAAATAAGTGGAATAAACACATTTTTAAATATAGGGCTTGCTGCCACTCCCATACATAGGGAGGGAGGGAGGGCATGAGTAGGTTCTTGGCCCCTCACACAAAACTCCAGCTGCCTCCCTCCCAGGTTGAAGTAACTACTTTGGAAGGCTAACTGAAAGAAAGATGCCATCTCTGCAGCTATGGATGTAAGACTTTTCAATGGTGTGGCTGTTTTGGGATCATCTATGCTCCTGTAAGTAAACCCAGTATAATTAATCAATTTTGGAATTGTTACTTCAGTCTGTTGCTGAAGTCACATAACATGGACTCAGCAGGTCTTTAGACCCAGCTGTGGTAAGAACACCCCCTCAAACTGCAGGCACCCACTACAGTTTTAGCTTCGAGCAGGCCACGTGCATAGAAAACACTGAGGTACCCTGACTCCATGGATGATGCTGCTGAGGGGGGATCTGGAGCTCTTCCTGGGGGCCAGCCAGGTCATCTCACCTCATTGCTCACTACCACATGGATGCCAGCGGGACCCTGTCGGTACACCCGGTGGATATGCTGCGGGGGGATGCTGTACAGGCTGGCAATCTTCTCAGTCAGCTCCAGCGTGGTTAGCTCTTCCAGGAAAATAGCGTGGTACACTGCGGGGGAGGAGCAAGGGCCATCGTTAAAGGGGGCGTTAAATTAACAAGAACCTGTCTGTGTGCTCCTACCCCATTCTGAGAAGCCAACAGTGTACTTAAGCTGCTCATGCCCTAAGCCAAAGATGCCCATCTGAAACTGAGAAGGCCGGTGGAGCACACTGACAGGTAAATACAGGCTAGCTGTCTTTGTCTCTCTTGTGCATGTATGTTGATTCCTGGGCCCAACCAGGCATCCAGCTAGGGGAAGGGGAGGACACCAGGAGCACTGGAATTCCGATGTGCCCAGCGTGCACCCTGCACAGTGGGTTACTCAGTAGTGTCTGGTGGAAGAGGGTATTTAAGAAGAGGATATTTACAGACAGTTATTCGAAGCTGAGCACCAGTGTTCAATGCTCTCTGCTTCCTCACTGTGGACTCAACATGAGCAGCTGCCCACGCTCCTGCTGCCACACCTTCCCTGCCATGATGGCCTGCGCCCTCAGACTGTGAGCCATAAGAAACCCTACCTTTCTTAAGCTGCTGTGGCCTGCGACAGGTGTTTTGTCACAGTAATGAGAAACGTGACTGAAACATTGAGAACAGAAATCGAGCTGGCTCAGGAGTCAGGCGTGGGCTCTGCTCCACTCACCACACAGGCTATTGTCCCCGCTGTCATCCTGCTTCTGCGGGAGGGGCATTTGGTTCTGCTCCAGCTCCTGGCATACGTAGATGGTCATCTTTGGCCTCACATTCCTAGCAAAAGAAGGGGACATAATTAGCAGGAATGATGGACTGTTGTCCAGAATGTTCCAGAACCCAGCATGGAACCTGCAGTATAAGGGGACTTAGGGAAGAAGCGTGTGTAGGGCTGCAGAATGCTTTTCATGGACAGGTGTCTGGGGACAGAACCCAGTCCTGGTGGATCTTTATGGCTTCACAAAGGGCGTTCTGGAGGAAGTGGGAGACGATTCTTCCCTGCCTCGCTGAGGCTTTTCTGTAGAGTTAAATCTCAAGAGGTGGTGTGGTCTGGTGGGAGAGCATGTGCTTAGCGCGTGGACAGTCTCGGCTTCCATTCCCATCAAGGGAGACAGGAAAAAGAGACAAAGAAAGGATTTGACATAGAGTTCCTCATACCTGAGTGAGCCTTATCCCCTCCCCTCATTCCACAGAGAGGAAAATTGAGGCTCAGAGGGGCAAATGGCTTTTTTTTTTCCCCACTGAAAAGCTTCTGGGAAACAAATCTGGGATTCACCCTCAATTGTACTGTCCCCAGCTGGCTACTCAGTTTTAACTCCAGGGCTCAAGAGAAGCTCACCAACACAGCCCATGCTTGGCACACACAAGCTCCGGGTTCTGGTCTCAGCAACAGAAAAAGTGAAGAGCACAAAACTTCAATAAAACCTAAACTGGGTCTGACTATAATGTCAATGTTAGTGCCGCAATACAGGGTCCCGCGTGGCCAGCAGTTTCCAGACTGCCGTGGGACATTTCATTTCTATGGAGGGGAGAGTTCTATCGACAGCATGGCCCTGAAAACTGCACTGTGGTTTTCAAGGCCATGCCCCGCCCCCAGCGAGTCAGAGCTCTCAGCCTGGACTCTGCAAGTGTCCAGAGTCTGGGCTAGGGACTAAAGGCCAAGCTCCGCAGACTCTGGATCCAGGAGGAGAGGGGAGCTGCGGTGGTTAATATTAATTGAGGAGCTTGAGTCACCTAGCAGACAAACATCTGGGAGGGAGGGAGTCGCTAGACAAGGTTAACTGAATAAGAAGACCCACCATCAATGTAAGCAGGGTTAGCTCATGACCTGAAGTCTCACTCTGCATGCAGAGAAGACAGCAATCTGACCACCAGCATTCTTCCCTTTCTGCTCCCTGACTTAAAGACAAAGTGACCAGCCACCCCCACCATGGCAGCAACGACTTACGTACCATGATGGACTGTACTGTGGGAAGCGGTGGAAGCCCCGAGTGTGTAAAGCCCTGAATGGAATGTGTGTTGTGGACATGACCTGGTTATGTCAGGGACCCTAGCCTCAGAACCAGGGAAAACCACAAAGCCTTGCCTTGGAGTGAGGCTCAGAGTCTGTGTGAATAATGATAGTGGGTTTAGAAAATGCCCACCAACTCCAACTCCCCTGGATATTTATGGCCTAAAGGCTGTTCCTACAAAGATTAGCTAATTTGCATCCTTGTTCAGATATCCACTGTGAACCCTCTTTCCTGTTTATCTGTATGTACTAAGCCATGTTTAGCTGCATGTAATAACCCCACCTCCCTGATCAACTTGAATAAATATACTGATCTTCCAGAATGCTAGGGCTTCTCCATCAGAGCCCAGTCTCTATGAACCCAACTTTCTTGTATATGTCTTTCCTTTCTTCATTCCCTAGGGCCCCAGTCTGGCCAATCTTTTAAGATGTGCTGGATGTGGCATTGTACCTTCAACCATGAGCCAAAATAAACCTTCCTGTTCATAAGCTGGCTTCTTTTCATAAGTCAGACATTTTGTCATGGTGATGAAAAAATTAACTGAGGTGTTTCTGAGCAAGGGCCCCTGCAGCCAGGAGCTGAGGTGTCTCCACATGGTACCTCATTCACTGTCCCACCCCTCCCAGCACCTCCTCCAGCATTTACCTCCATGTTGAAAGAAGGAATCCCTCCATCACCCAGTCCCACCAGCAGGCTCACTCACAGTTCAAGAGGCTGAGGTGGGGCTTCCTGCTACACACAGCCAGTCTAGTGGCCACAGTCTTTGGTTGGCTTCTCTAAGAAACTGACACCTACCTGCCTTTGATGGCATTGAAGAGCCGAATCCCATCTGCGGGGCCACAGACCTGGACCAAATCATCTCTGGACATTTTCAGCAGGTCAGCACCTAAGCAGAGATGTGCACCACTGGTTACACAGCATATACCTGCTGACCCACAGCAGGGCTGAGGGACAAAGTAGGGCCAGCCTCACCCTCAGTGGGCACTAGCCCTTCCACAGAAAAAAAATGGCCATGACGTAAAACAATCCCAGGATATCACAGCCATACAGGTCAGACGATGAAAGCTAGTATGCTTACAAGTAAAGGGAGGTTAAGTCCACTCCCACCCCCTCTGACTGCCCACCCCCCTCTCTGTACTTTTCATCTGCACTATTCTGTCTGCACAGATTTTATCAGCATGTTGTCACCAATGACATGTGTACGTATCTAGGCAGAAGCATACACTCACTGGAGGTTGACAATACAAACAAACCAAGAGGCAAAACATTAGCCTCCCAAGAGACAGACATGAACAGACCTACCACCCCATTTGAAGGAGCAGAGGAAGGCCACTGTCTTCTGAAAACACAGGCGAATAAAGGATGGTGGGGAGGCCAGTGCTGTGACATCTTTTAACGATTGAGTGCCCTCGATCCCAGGGCTCCTGAGGATTTTCCAGGGGACTCACCTCCTTTACCTCTATCTCAGATGATATGTCAGGAATAGGTCTGCAAATGCAATGGCTCTCTGAATCTAACCCCCTCTTTTCCTTTTCTTTGAGACATGGTTTTATGTAACCCAGGGTAGCCTTAAACAGTATAACAGAGGTAATCTTGAACTTCTCCTAAGTATACTCTACCCAGTTTATGGAGTGCTAAGGAATAGAACATAGGGCTTCTTGAATGCTAGGCATGCAATCCACAGTTCTAATCCAGCACGGTTGGCTTTGTATTGGGATTGAAGGCCAATTTCCTTCTATGGACCTGCCAGAATCCAGATCACTTGCTCCTAGTGACCTGACCTCATTGCTTCCTTGGTCCTCAGTTCTGTGGCATCCACCTCACTGAGGGTTCCCTTGGACACAGCCGTAGGCCCATGAGACCAGGGCACTTGTGGATTCCAAACCTAACTCCACAATATTCACCTGAGAAGCTGGCGAAGAGCCAGCAGAACTGTGAGAAGCGGTTGCGGTGCAGCCACTGCTGCGCATCCTGGATAGAAGCTGATGGGAGCAGGTGCTGCAAGCAAGAGACAGAGGAGGTTCAAAATGGTCCCAGAGCCAGAGGGACCGCCAGCCCACCAATGCCCATGCAGACTTACATCACTGCCCAGGGATAAGGGCTCCACCGGGTGGGTAGGTGAGCTGTTACTGTAACAGAAAAGGGATGGTTGATGAGCATGAGGGCCAAGGTTCTAGAACCTACATGGTGCCTACGTTCAAGCAGGAGTGTGACTGCCTGAATCAACCACAACATATGACCCAATCTCTTACAACGTCTCCTGAACTCAATTGTTACTGCCTGGGAGGTCTAGATGGGCCACACTGCTCCGGGTAACAGCAGCTCTACCTGTATAGTCTTCAGAGGGCTTGTGTGTTGTGACTAGATCCTGTGCTGCATGCCCTGTGATGGTTCACCTTGATGGGAGTTAGAATGACCATGGAAACAACCTCTGCGCATGTCTGGGAGGGAGGCTCCATATCAAGTTAACTAAGTTGGGAAGACCCACCCTAGCTGTGGCAGCAGCGTCCCACGGTCTGGGGTCCTGGACCAAACAGAAAGAGGAGGGTGAGCTGAGTACCAGCATCCACTGCCTCCTGACTGTGGACGCCGTGTAACCAGCTTCTTCCTCCCGCTGCTGTAACTTCTGAGCAGTGACAGACCCGTATCTGCTTGAATTGTGAGCTGAAATAAGGCCTTCCTAAGTCACTTCTTGTCTAGTATTTTTGTCCCAGTGCAAGGAATTGGCTAAAATACCAAACAAGTTCCAGTAATTCAGCACCCAGGAAGCTACAGATGAACTGAAGTCATCAACAATTTCCAAGCCAGATGGGCACAAAAGGACCACTGTGATGAATCCACAGGTCAGCACCCACTTAGGAAGAAAAACATGGCCCTGGTTTTCCCAATAGGAAGGTACATGCAAGCATGTTTGATTCCCAACACCCACATACAAAACTGGTGCAGCAGGGCATGCCTCTAATCCCAGTATGGGACATGGGACAGAAGCTTCACTAGAGAGCAAGCACTGGCTAGCGGGTCTCACCAAGTCAGTGAGCCCCAGTGAGACCCTGTCTCAAAAATGAGGTGAAGGGTGACTGAGGAAGACACCTGACAGCAACTCCTGGCTTCCACATGCACATACTCATACAAGACCCTCATCGCAGCCATCAGTCATAACAGCAGTCCTTCCTCTGTCTGTACCCCAGGCACACCCTTCCTCGTGACCCTGTGTTGAACCCCTAACACATTTCTCCTTCAAGGAAAGCAGGGCTTAGGAAAGTTAAGGAAGTTGCTTCCCCAAGGGTAGACATCAAAGAGCAGGTCTGCCTGATCTCAAAGACCCTTTTTTTAAATTTTAATTTAATTTTATTTTTTTACTCATGAGAAGATATTTTACAATGGTAAAATCAAGTTCACGTAGATCTCCTTTGCCTCAGCCTGACTTTGAAATTGCCATATAACCTTAAACAGCTGATCCTCTTCCTCTACAAATGCCACCACAACAGGTATTGGAAATCAAATTCAGCATTTCCTCTACCAAATGAGCTCCAGCTCCATCACCCAACCCTGATTTTTTTTTTAATAGACTGACTGCGAAGCTGGGGCTTCAAACAGAGGTCCTACACTTGTTGGCTAACAGCATCCAGACTGGCACTCTTCTCTACCCACGGCCAGGACATTACTGCAGAGCCACCATGGTGATGTCAAGAGCCTCGGTCTACACAGCATGCTAGTTAGAATCTGCCTATGCTGCCTGTACTGTCCTATGACTGTGGCCTTGGCCTATCTGCAGAGTCAGCCACGGTTCGACTAGCTTTGGTGCTACAGCACTGAAACCCAGGGTGGAGGCTCCGACTTGGACAGTCCCTTCAGGAAGCACGAACAAGAGGCAGACAGAAAAGCAAAGAGACCCTGCTAGATGCCTCAGTTATCCAGCACCCACTTCAGGTGAACACTGGTTTTCAAGGTGAATTCTCACGAACTTGTTGCCACTTGTGGAAGTATATAGAAAAGAACACACACAGAGACCACACAGTCAGATGTGATGGCGTATACCTACATCCAAGCACGCAAGAGGCTAAAAAAGTAGAATTGCAAGTTCAAGGCCAGCCTGAGCTAACCAAGTTCAAGGTTAGTCTGGGCTATATACAACCCTGCCTCAAAAACCCAAAGCTAGCTATAGCTAGCTGGGCCATGGTGGTACATGCCTATTTAATCCCAGCACTCAGGGAGGGAGAAGCAGGTGGATCTCTGAGTTTGAGGCCAGCCTGGTCTATAGAGTGAGTTCCAAGACAGTCAAAGTTACACAGAGAAACCCTGTCTCAAACAAAACAAAACAAAAAGAAAAACAAACCCCAAAAAGCTAAATATGGAAACTGAGGCTGTAGCTCAGTGTTAAAGTTCCTGCCTAGCAAATACCAGGCCCTGGCAGCCACTCCCAGCATGGGGAGCTAGAGAGGAGTAGATAAGTATGGCTGTGATTACTATACCAGTTAACCACACTAAAACCCGAACAGATGCCAGGCAATGGGATGCAGAAAGACCAAAAAGGGACCCCTCTACCCCACTGCATGCCAGGACAAGGAGAAGAGGGTTGGACATACCCTTCACGAAGGCCAAAGCTGTTGGGAGAGCCATTGTAGCTTGGGGATGGAGTACTGTTCACCTGGTAGGCTACATCAGGCCACGGAGAGCACTGTGGGAAGAGACACGGGGTAGTGTGACTCATCAGAGGTCTTGGGATAAGCTTAAGAGGCAGCCTGTACTCCTCAGGCCCTTCCAAGCAGGCATACACGGGCACTGATGCCTAAGGCCCTGCTGTGTCAGCATGGAGCCCACAATGACTACTCACAGTGAGCCATGGCCAGTCAGACTGCTAGGGATACCTAACATGACAGAAGAGACCTAGAACTCCGGAAGTCATCCTAGAGCAGGCACACCATGAAAGGTACCCCTTTGTGCTTCCTGATAATCAAATCAAAAGGGGGGAGGGGTGGAGAAGAAGCATCATGTAAATGTCAAAGCTTACAAATGAAGACAATCAAACCCCAACTGGTCAAATATGTTTAAATTGTATTGTACAGAGGGTAGACGGCTTCTAACGAGGAGGAAAGCAGTAAAATTCAGAGTGAGGAAACTGCTCAAGGCAGGGGGACTATAGCAGGCCCAACTTGTACAGTTGCTCCATTGTAGTACCCATCTGGGCTCCCAAAGACAGAAACACGCATGATGTGAGCCTTCCCCTGTGGACATTCTAACGCAAGGCCAAAAATGAAGGGACCCAGTTGGGGGTGCCAGAGAGAGAACACACACCTCCAGGGAAAGGGAGTGCCCAAGCCTGCATTTCTTCCTTCCCTCCCTCTGAGGCAGTGACTTCGCTTGGAGAGGGCCAGTCTGAAGCATTCCTAAAGACTGACTATCCCCCACCAAATGCCAGGTTGGTAAATATTTAACCATTGTGAGTGTGGGCTGGAATTTGTTGATGCTAAATCCTACCAAGGGAAGAAATCTGATGAGCTGATAGAAGGCGTGCACTGGCATCTCCCAAGGTCATGTAGTCTGGATTCTTTACACCAGCCATGCTGTGCTGTGATGAGGGCTTACACAGTCATAGCACGCTTTGAGGAAGTCAGTATTGGAACAGAAAAGTTGGGGCTCAGCCAGGATGAGAAACATTGCACTAGATGGGGGTATTCCTGGCTGTGTCATCAGACAGGCATGGGCATCAAAAGGAACTGCACAAAACACTGTCCTTTGTGTCCTTCTGTTGGCAGAGAGCAAGAGGAAGTTTTCCTGTACCAGACTCCCTGCCCACTGTCACCTTCAGAAAAAATAGAGGGCCAGTACATACTTGAAAGCCACACCAGACTTTTACCCTTTCTAGTGCAAATATCCCTCGACATGTGGCTTTGCACATACATACACAAGCCTATGTATGCACAGCTGGGACCTGGCCACCCTCCTCTTGGATTTCTGTACCCCAGTCTCACCAACAACATTGCCCTGATCCTGCATGGCTACCCTGAGTCTTATATATGCCTTTAGAGTGAATCCAGTTAGTCGAAACCACCAACACAGGGAGGAATAACTATTAAGGGGTGGGGCTGGGCAGTGGTGTCACAAGCCTTTAATCCCAGCACTCAAGAGGCAGGGGCACAAGATCTCTGTGAGTTTGAGACCAACCTGGTCAACAGAGTAAGTACCAGACAGCCAGTGCTACACAAAGAAACCCTGTCTGTGGATGATGGAGGGAAGAAAGGAGGGAGGGGAGGGGGAGAGAGAGAATAAAGAAAACAGGCCAGAAAAAGAAAAGCCGCTGATGGCCAGTAACAGGAAGCAAGCGGAGAGAGCTGCTCATAGCCTCTTGAGGAGCTCTGAGGAGTTTCCTGAACCTACACGATGGCTGCAGAGGACTGCCTCTTTTTGCTGTGTGTGCATGCGTGTGCACCTGGTGGTCTGGAGCTCAAACTTAGGTTGCCAAGCTTATGCAGCACAAGTGCCTTTACCTGCTGAACCACCTGTTAGGCCCAAGCACTGATTTATACGAAGCACATGCTAGCTGGATGTAGGGGCACATGCTTTTAATCCAAGCGCTCAAGAAGCAGAGGCAGGTGAATCTCTGTGAGGGGAGGCCGGCCTGGTCTGTTCCACACAGAGAATTCCAGAATAATCAGGGATACATAGAGGACCTGTCTCAGAAAAACAAAAACAAAACAAAACACGAAAGCCAGTTCTGGGCCAGGCAGTGGTGACGGCCACCTTTAATGCCAGCACTAGGGAGGCAGAGGCAGGCAGATCTCTGACTTCGAAGCCAGCCTGGTCTACAGTTCCAGGACAGCCTAAGGCTACACAGAGAAACCCTGTTTCAAAAACAAAACAAAACAAACAAAAACCAGTGCTTACACTACCAGCCAGTGACCTCACACAGAGTAAAGGCCTGAACATAGTCCTGCTGTGTTCATGCCCACAACAAGCCTCCACAGGAGCGCTGCACAGCTGAACAAGGAACTAGAAAGTTGTTGATGAAAGGACAGGAGTCACGTGCAAAATGAGCCATTAAATACAAAACACACAGCACAGAAGAGTGTGTACTGCTGATGGACAGACACAGGCATGGGCTAAATGAAGTGTGTACACACTGCTTTAACTGCAGAGAAAGGCAGATACCCACAGAGCCAGAAGCGCTGGGTGCCTGGAGCAAGAAGCTGAGAGCATGGGTCGATGTGGGAGATACTTTCAGGTGCAAAAATTTTATATTTTGAACCACGTGATTGAACCAAAATATTCAAAGGCAGCAAGGAGCTCAAAGTGATCTCAGAAAAACCCACCAGCAGCCTCACAGGATGTGTACACTGGGCTCTCAACAAAGTTCTCACTTACCGGAAGGGCCATCTTCCATTGCTGTGCACTATGGTCCTGGCCCCCTCCAGGCCTACTCCCAGCTGCAGTCCCAGCTCACCTCAGTGAGGATGGTGGTTTCATAGGACGGCTGGTACTTCTCCTTCTCCTGAGCTGTTCTCTTCTCCATCTTTTCCCGGTCAGTCTTCTGTTTCCGATCAGCTCCCTTTGGCTGCAAGTATAGAATACAAGGTCCACGTAAGCCAGAAAGCAGCCATTGGCTGGGGAAGGAAGACTGGGGTCTACAGGCTCAACTTCAACCTGGGGCCCTGAAGAGCAGACAGGGCAGCTCTCACACCTGGGACCTTTGAGCCTCCCACTTGGCAGCTCAGCGGGAAGTGCTTAAGAAGATTGCTGCTAATGGCCACTTGCTTATAGAAGGCACTATGAAGACCAAAGATGGGATATACCACAGGGCGAGGGTGACTGAAGGGAGGTGGAGAGTGGCTATTGACCCAGCCTATGCCCTGTTCAACTCTGCTCAGGGCCGGGCATACCCAGCCCTTAGTACATCTCAGAACTCTGTCTCTCCTGTGGCTAAATGATGGCGCAACAGACTGCAGAATCTATTGTTACTTACAAAGAGTGCCCAGCCTCACAGCCACCATCGTTTCTTCTTTACAAGCCAGAGGCCTAAGGGTACAGTCCCTCCCTCCTGTGACACCTTCCTTGTGCCTCTCTCATGGTTCCCATCCTGCTTGGCAAGCACAGGTACAAGACTCAGGGCCCCTTGATGAGCAGATACTAACAATTAGTTCAGGTCTAGTGGCCCCACAGAACTTTCATCCCAGCATGCGCCTTCCTCCGGGGATGCTTTCTGGTTCCCCGCTCAAGGGCTTTTTAGGGAAGCCTCTCTCAGGGTGACACCAACCCCAGGTGAAGGTAAGCTTGCAGTGAGCCACACAGGGACACTAATAGCAGATGTGCTATTCAATGTGAGCAGCAAGAAAGTCGTCGGAGACCAGGGTCATGGCAGCCATTCTAGACACTGCTCTAGTAAGTCCTGCACTCAAGAGGCCTTTTCTCCTTGCCTCAGAAGCTAGAGGTGAGGGAGGGACAAGCCAGACCATGGCCTAGCATGCATGTGGGATAAAGCTCTCCACTTCATATCCTTCAAGGAATCAGCCAGTCAAAAGACACCGGCTTTTCTTTCAGAAACCAGACACATCAAGAACCTGACTGATCCCCTTAAAACCACGTAAAAAGGCCAGCATATAGTGACAATCACTAATTCCCGAGGCAAGAAAGCACACCCGTATATGCTTTAGCCTAATGGGGCTAGTTCCAGGTTCAGTGAGAGAACCTCTGTCTCAAAAATAAGGTAGATGAGTCCTAAGAAACCTAGGATTGACCTCTGACTTCCACATACTACACAAGTGTATTTGACTTCTATCTCCCCCCCATACACAGAAACAAAAGAGAAAAAAAAGTATGGGTAACATGCCTGCCATGAATCCAAAGTGCCAAGCCACATAGAGGGTGAACACGGACTTCACCCGTCACATAAAGGGGATGGACACATGTTCAGCATCCAGGTCTGTGGTTAGTTCCTGTTTACCCTGCTCAGGAGGATTGTGACCCTGCTGTGTCTCTAACAGAGCCCTATCGGAAACTGACTCTCCCTGGCTCTCAAATGTCAGCAGATGTTTCCAGAAAGTTCCAAATTCACCTGGGTGTGAAAAAGGGGAATCTGGAACAGGTGTTCAGTCTGGTCATCCAAAGCGACCTCTGATGGGAGGGGGCTCCGCTCCTCCGAAGGTCAACCGAAGCAGGTTAAACCTGCTGGTCACGGGCTAGCCTCATGCTATAAGAATGACATGGGCCTGCTGCACCTTCTATTTCCCTGAGGGCATTAGGGACTGTAAGAACACTGGCTCCCACCTTCAGGAAATAATCAATCCAGATGAGGAGATAAGAACCAACTAAGAGAGACGGCAAGATGAGTCTGGACAGAAGGAGGCTGGAGGGATTTCTGAAGAGGTTTCTTTTTTGAAGATGAATTTTTCTTGCGACAGAACTCAGGATATCCTTGCATGCTAGATCTAATCATGTATCACTGAGCCACAATATAGTGTTTTTGAAGAGAAAGCCTGCCTAGGGCTGGGGCATTTCTCAACAGTACAGTTCTTGTAGAGTACCTGCCATGCAAGAATGAGGGCCTGAGTTTGGAAGCATGTAAATGACCAGGTGTGGCAACACATGCCTAAGGCTGTTGCTGAGGTGGACCTGGAGCTCAATGGTCAGCTACCCTTACTGAATTGGTGAGCTTCAGGTTCAGTGAGAGACCCTGTCTTAAAAACTAAGGTGGACAAAGAACTGGTGAGACTGCTCGGTGAGTAGAGGCAAAGGCTGATGACGTCGATCTCAATCCCCAGGACCCACATGGCAGAGGGAGAGAGCTGACTTTTGCAGATTGTCCTCTGACATTTATCTATAAGCACGCAGTCAAAGCCATTGAGTATGTGAACACACACACTAAATAGTTAACATTAAAAAAACATTTAAAAATGAAGGTGGAGAGCAAATACCATCAACCTCTGACCTAACAACACTCACAGGGTGGGAGTGGGGAGCCAACCAATGCAGAGAAAAATGGCACTGAGCTAGACGGCCAAGAATGGCCCTCTTGACCTCATGTTTACTTTTTTTTTTTTTTTTTTTTTGTTCTTGTTTTGTTTTGTTTGAGACAGGATCTCACTCACTATGTTGTCCTGGATGGCCTGGAGCTCACTACTGTAGACCAGGCGAATCTGAAAATCAGAGATGCACTTGCCTCTGCTTCCAAACTGCTGGGATTAAAGGCACTGGTACACCTGCATTTGCCCTCATGTTTAAGGAGACACTAGATGCTTGGAGTCAGGAAAATTACAACTCTAAAAAAGATGCAAAGCCAGTCATTCTTATGAAAGCAGAGCCTTGTACTGACATGGGGAGATACCCCTTCCCAACACTTTGAGTAAAAAGAGAAGGCTGGTCAGGGACAGAAGCCAGAATCCTGAGAGAAGCCTCAGCTACTGGGAGCCCTAACACCCAGCTGGGTCTACACTCTACGTAATAGCAAAGGGCCTTCTTGCAGGTGGGTGTGACCAGTACTGGCTATGAGTGCATCCTACCTTGAACACCTTGATCTGGCAGCTGGCAGAGTGGAGATGCTCCGTGTATTCCCCATTCTCATTCTGCTTAAACGTGTCAATCTGCACCCGAAAAGGCACTCCCTTCTCACCCCCATGCTTCCTGGGGGTGAATTCCGTGCTGATACAGTGCACCTGGGAGGGGAATGTGGGACTTGAAGTCACGTAGGTGAGAGGAGTCTGGAGGCCCCTGGGGCTCCTCTTCCCTGAGGAGGCGACCATCCCTGCTTCCACTCCCTACTTCCCAGCATCAGGCCAAGGCCTCCTTGCCCGGAGCCACAGAACACATACACAGCATCCCACCTCTGTCCCTTTACTCTGGGTTCTGTCTGCTCAGCTAAATCCTCATCATTGTTCCAGGCCACTGAACACAGCAGCCACACCACACACCATCAGCCCTCATCTATGAACCTTTCCCTTCGTAAATCCTAGACTTACCGCCCTGCTGCTCTTTGACATCCTGGTATATTGAACAAGTCTCGAGCCACAGTCCGAAAGCCAAACTCATCTCTATATCTCCAAGTTCATACTACAGAGGAGGCACTGGACACCTATGTATTGTTCTGACACTGGTTATAAAATACAGTATTATTACTGCAATACAAAAGTAACTAACTTTTGGAACAAGGATATTATGTTTTTAAAAATTGTATCAGTGTGTGCCAATGTGCATCTGCACCTGAAAGACAGACACCGACATTCCTGCCTTCTTCAGTTGCTCCCCATTTAACTTCTTTGTTGTTGTGTGGTTGTTGTTTTGTTTTGTTTGTTTGTTTGTGAGACAGACAGCCGTGGTGGTCCTGGGACTCTATCAGATCAGGCTGGTCTCAAACTCAGACGAACCTACCTTTGCCTCCTGGATGCTGGGATTAAAGGTGCAGAATAAAGGCTCACCATGTCCAGGCCTCACTCAATTTTTTAAGCCAGGATTTCTCACAGAATTTAGAGCTCATAGATTTGGGTAGGCTACCTGGCGAACAAGCCCCAGGGATCCTGTTGTCTCCACCCCTTCAGGGGTTAGGCATATGCAGCTGTGCCCAGCTCTTGCAAGCTGAGGCTCAAACTCAAATTCCCATGTGTATACAGCAAGCATTTTGCTGTTTTTCTTGAACCATTCTCTTGGATCTGACATATTTTTTGTTTGTTTTTTTGTTTTGTTTCAAGACAGGGTTTCTCTGTGTAGCCTTGGCTGTCTTGGACTCAATCTGCCTTCCTCTGCTTCCCCAAGCGCTGGAATTACAGGTGAGCCCCACCACTGCCCAGTCTGCCTTCCTTCCTTTCTTCCTCCCACCCCCTTGGGTTTTATTTCAAGACAGGGTTTCTCTGTATAGCCTTGGCTGTCCTGTGCTCGCATTGTGGAGCAGGCTGGCCTCAAACTCACAGAGATCCACCTGCCTCTGCCTCCCTGAATGCTGGGATTACAGGTGTGTGCCACCGGTGCCCAGCTCCTGGCATATTTCTTTTCTGCTAAGTGGGAGACCGTATTTCAAAAAACACAAAAGCAAACAAACAAACAAACAAACCCAAAAAACCTTCTCACATTTTTTATTTACCATGTGTGCGGATGCGTACCAAAGGCCCGTGTGGAGGATCTGAGGAGCTTTTTGGGGAGTCAGTTCAATCATTCACCATTTAGGTCCGGGTAATCAAATTCAGGCCATCACACTTAGTGCCAGGTGCCTTTACCCCAAGTGATCTCATGGCTCCAAAATACGGAATTTTTAAAAAATAGGTTGTGTGTGTATGTGTGTGTGTTTGTGTACATCCAGATAGAGGTTAGAGATCAACCCTGGCTGTGCTCCCTCAGGTGTGGTCTGCATTGTTTCTGAGCCAGTCTCTCATTGGCCTGGGACTCACGAATTGAGCTAGGCTGACAGGTCAATATGTCCCAGGGATCTACCCACCTTCACCTTCCCAACACAGGCCTCGCCTTCCAGTCTTCCTCATGTGGAGGACTGAACTCAGGTCTTCGGGCTTGTGAACAAGTACTTTACTGCCTAGGCAATCTCCTAGCCTTGGAAAGAGCAAATTTAACCTCACAGCTTTCCGAAAGCAAGAACACAAACCTAACTCCACACCATTCCAAGGCCTTGCCTCATCGCTCCTGACCCGGGGCCATTCATCCTCTGTCCCGCCTCAGCCACTTGCCTCCGACGGGAGGCCATCTTAGCTAGCGGACAGGCCACCCTCCAAACACCTCTCACGTGTGCTTACCTGAATGAATGCAGATGCTCTCTTTGCGGGATCCCACAAAAACTCCACAGCATTCAGTTGGGTTGGGCTGGCCCTGGGGTCCAAGATACCAACAGACAGTGGGATATCTGCCAATGCACACACACACACAAGTGAGACTGTCAGCCTCTCCCGAACACTGAGGAGAGACCCGAGATATGGGACCAAACTCCTTCACTGTGTTTAAAAACAGCAGCCAATCTGGAAATTAAGCTTTGCCCAACTCCACTGGCAGATCGCCCAGATAGACTGCTTGATGTCTTTATCTTTTCTTACGACAAGTTTCCCTTGATTTCCATCTGAAAGGACCTGCTGATGCCCTGGTATACAGAACCCTACCATCACCTTAGCTTTTGAATCCCAAAGCACAGCTGAGGGCTGTGAACAAAGCAGGGTGACCTGAACCATCAAGCTCCGTGATATGCCCACCCATTCCCCTAGCCATGTATCAAAACCCTCAAGGGAGCTGGGCAGGGTGACACACAACGCACTCAGGAGGCAGAGGCAGGTGGATTTCTCTGAGTTTGAACTCAATATGGTCTACCTAGTGAGTTTCAAGCTAGCCAGGTTGCTCACCCTTTAAGGCTGTGTATTCTCCTACAGAAAGCTCCTTGAGAGTAGCACCCGATGGCTTGGGTCACCTCTGAAAGTTCTCATGTTTCCTTCCTTTCTTCGCTCCCTCCCTTCTTCCTTCCTTCAGTATATAGGTGTATGGGGGGATTCACGGCTCTGTGTATGTGTTCTAGGGATTGAACTCAGGTCCTCATGCTTGAGCTTACCAATTGAGCCATCTCTTTCTTTTGGACCCACTATATATAGACCAGCATGGCCTCAACCCCAATGTCTTTCTGCCTGTGCATCAGTGCTGGGACTGCATGTATGTGCCACCAGGCTGGGCTTCCTTGTGAGCATAAATCTAAGTGGCATGCACAAAGAAGCTGCACATAGTCCAATTGTGCTGGCTGGAGAGACTCACCAATGTCCAGGATGCGGTCCCCAGGCCGGCTCCACCGCCAACCTTCCAGTTGCTGATACTCGGTGTACTGCAGCCGGCGGTCATGGAAAACTACACGGATGATACTCTGTGGAAGGCAGATGTCAGAGTCCCCAAGAAGGGCATGCATTCCCGTCCCCAGCCAGGAAAAACCCTCTGTCCTTCTCCAGCCCCTTTTTCCTAGGGCTTCCTTTCCTCCAAACCCCAAAACATGGACAATGGTAAAAAGGGGGCTTCCTTCCATAGTTTCCAGTATTCTGAACAGCGTCACATATATGTCTGACTAATGTGCTGTTTGTTCTGGGCAGGTAAGAAAGGATCAATTGAGGGCAAAATACGACTTCTGTCTATATAACCCAGAGCATACTCCGCCAACATAAGCCACCCCACCCTGGTCCATGGCTACCCATCTAATCCCCATGGGGAGAGTGCACTCCAGAAACTGGGATGAGAAGAATGCCACCTTCCCTTTGACTCCTTCCTACCATCCCTACTCCCCAGGCATTCAGACCTGCCCCTCTGGTGTGTGACTGGCCAGCCCTGAGGCTCACTCACCTTCACATATTTCGTGTTCAGATCTTGGAAGTCCCCTAGCTTCCGGTTCTCCAGTAGCCGGATTTCATATGACTGACCTGAGGAGGGGGAACAGCAGATCTTCCATTTCTTTCTGTAATTTTACCCTGAGACAGCATCTCACGTAGCCTGAGCTGGCCTCAAACTGGCTATGCAGCTAAGTTCCTGTGAACTCAAGATCCTCCTGTCTAGGCCTCCTAGCCACATGCATGCCGGGGTTCAGAACTCAGGTGCACGTGCTTGCACACCAAGCATTTTACACAGAGTAAAAATAGTTTTTAAAAAATTGACTTAAAAAAAAAAAAATCAACTTCTCAGGGCCAGATCGCTGGCTCAGCAGTTAAGCACACTAGCTGTCCTTGCAGGGCGGCTCATAAGCACCTATAACAACAGTTCCAGGGGACCTGGCCTCTGAAGGCACCAGCCACACGCGTGGGGTACAGACGCATACATGCAGCCAGAACACCCATATACATAAAAAACATTCAAAAGATTAAAAAGCAAATTTCAGCCAGACATGCTGGCAGTTAGGAGGCAAAGACAGGTAGGTAGAGTTCTTTGAGGTGCAAGCTAGCCAGGGCTACACAGTGAGACCTTACCTCAGAATAAAGAATTCATTTCTCAGGGCTTTACTTTAATAGCTGCTATGAGCTGCTTAAGAAGGAAAGACTTTCCCAACCTAAAGTCAGAGGCAGAGAGGACAACAGCTGTCCTTTCTCAGGCATCAACCAACTGACTTGGAACCTGGCCCTAAAGTTGCATGTATATAAATGTGAACTAATTCCAAATCAGTCAAAGCAGCCCCAGCCTCTACTGGATGCTTCACAAGCTGCTATTAGAACTGCAGAGAATGCTGACGCAGTCTAGGATCCTAGTTATGTAGGGGAAGCTGAGCAGGAGGAGTGATGATAGTTCAGGACCAGCATGGGTCTTCTGCCGGGGGAGGGGGGGTAAGAACAGACTCCCACAAATTGTCTTCTAACCTTCACTCACCACACACACAGACAGACAGACAGACAGACAAACACAGACACACACACACACACACACACACAGACAGACACAGACACACACACACACAGTGTAAAACATTTTAAACAATAGAAGCAACTACTTAAAGATATACCTACACCTTCCTTCTGTGCTGAGCTGAATAGGAGTTCAGTTATGGAAACCGAGGTGTGGCCTTAAATTAGGACAATTAAAGTAAGGATTCCAAGGTAAGGTGATAATCGGAGAAAGCCCCTGGGCCCTGAATCTAATGACACACACAGTGAGACGCACCGAGGTGGCAGAGAGGAAAAGAAAAGATGTGGCCACAAGCCAAGGACTGCCTGGAGACACCAGGTTAGTGGCCAACAGTGGCGCCTCCCCTGGGTGCCTAAGCCCAGCCCCGTGACTCCTCTCTTCTAGTCTGTGGAGCTGGGAGAAGCAGCTGCCAAGGAAGCAAGGCAAAGCCAGGATGCCGGAACGTGGAACTCAAACCATTTGCTGCAAATATTTGCTGAGCAGCAATCACACGGACAGCACAGTACAAACCCTGGAGCCTAGGGAGTAAGCGGAAGGCCCAGGCAGCATGTGGACCACAGAGGTTCCTGACTACAGCCTCTAAGCCTGGACCTGAGACAGCCGAACACAGCCATGCACCCGTCTACTCACCATTGTGTGCATGTGTGTGGGCGTGTCTTATGTGTGTGTGTGTGTGTGTGTCGATGCTCTTATAAATGAGTGTGTTCTGGAGTGCATTGTATGCACTTAAGTGTGGCAGCCAGAGGACGACAGCTGTCCTTTCTCAGGCATCAACCAACTGGCTTGGAACTTGGCAAGTTGACTAGACTGGCTGGCCCCAGAGCTCCAGGGATCCACCTGTCTTTAACCTCCCTCACCATGCCCAACTTTTTTATCTGAGTGCTGGGAATCAAACTTAGCACCAAGCATTTTTATCAGCTGAGGTATGTCTCAGCAATTAAGACTTTTAAGTCCTGTTTATGGGCCCCTGAGCCAAGAGCCTAGAACTCCCTAAGCCTGGACATACTAAGGGCCTTCCACACCCTAACTGGTTTTTCCAGTGTCCTTGTCTTTGCTGAAGAATGCAGAAGCTATTGGCAGAGGCCCAAGGCCCAAGTGGTCATTACATGAGTGTACAGGTTCCCCAGGGGGCCAATTAGCACTGGCCCCAGGTTCTGCAAGGTGACCTCCACTCAGGCCAAGGAGAGGCAACTCCTTGCCAGATAAAGAATTGTTTCCAAGTCTGCACCAGGAGGCAGCACTGGCAGGTCAGACCCATCCAGTGGGTTGTAGGCCAGGTGAGCTTCCCCATAACGATGGGAATCTAGCCCATGCCCTTCCCCATGGAGCTTTCATGGTCTTTCCTCTCAAACAGACATGTCTAGGATGCTCTCCAGACACCCTGCCCCTCCCAAGTCACCCTGTTCCTCTTGCTCTGCTGCCCTGCCCTTGTGCACCTCAAGACTAGTACACTAGGACTGGACTGACCTCCTCAGCCCTCACAGGGGGTCAGGGTCACATGCTAGCTGATGAGCATTGTCACACAGACCAAGATCACCTCAGGTGTACCATTTTTGCACATCTGTTAGGAGAAAGGGAACAAGCTCTCTGAAGGCCTGGACTGTGTAACTGTTGTTTGGGTTTTTTGTTTGTTTGTTTTTCTGTCTGTTGAGTTGGTTGGTTGGTTGGTTTTTTGCTTACTGCTGCACTGCTTGGCACACTATGCAAAAGTTTCAATGTAGTTTCATATGCTGTGTGTGTGCTTATGTGTAGGGATGTGTAGTGTTCTTATGGAGGCTAGATGACATCATTACTATCAACCACACTCCACCTTATCTTTTTGATTGGTTGGGGTTTTGTTCAGTTTGCTCGTTGTTCAGTTGGTTGATATTGTTTTGTTTTTGAGACAGGTCTCTCTGACTGGCTTGAAACATCCTAAATAGATAGATAGAGCAGGCTGGGCTTGAAGTCACAAAGACCTACCTGCCTTTGCTTCTCAGATCATAAGATTAAATGAGTTTGCTACCGTGCCTGGTTCTCTGCCATATTTTTTGAGACAAATGCCTGTCACTAAACTTGAAGTTCACCAATCCAGCTAAGCTGATAGGCCAGCAAACCCCGGAGATCTACCAGTCTTTACCTTCTCAGTCCTGGGAATACTAGTACCGGCTCTTTTTTTCTTTTCTTTTTTAAGATTTAATTTAAATTTTTATTTGTTTATTTGTGCATGCCTGCAGAGGCCAATAGAGGGTGTTCGATTCACTGGAATTGGGCTTTATAGACAGACAGTTGTGAGCCTCAGGGTATGGTGCTGGGTCCTCTGAAAGTGCCCTCAGGTGCTCCTAACCTAAGCCATCTCGACAGCCTCATCATGCTCAGCTTTTTACGTGTATTCTAGGGGTTCAGCTCAAGTCCTCACACTTGCACAGCAAGCATCTCAGCAACTGAGCCAGTTTTCCCAGCCCAATTTCAAATTCTTTACAATGCTCTTCTATGTTACAACTATGGGGTTTTGAAAAGTTTTAACACCCCCCCCCCGCCTCAACTGTTTGTAATTTTCCAGGTACATCAAACTGCACAAGAAAAGGAATAGGATGAAGCATAATTTCAGTAATTCCTTAAAAGACAAGAAGATGGGAGGCTAGGTCCACTTGTCCTGATAACAGTCAGGGCATGTGAAACAAGGCTTGAGCATGCAGGTAGAGGGAAGAGGGCTCTGAAGACTAAGCAGGGTGTCTATGGTCAAGGTAGGGAGTGAATACGACAGAAACCAGAAACGCCAAGTGAAAGTGCAGCAAGGCATGGGGTTTCCTCTGGAGAACATTAACAAACAGCTTCACTCACGGGAACAGAGCAATGCCAGAGACTGCTGGGACATTGACTTGCAGAGGTCTCTCAACTAGCCAATAGCAGCAAAGGAATCAGGAGCCCCACTGGATTAAGCAGAGACACATAGAGGCTTCCAGGACAAACTCAAACACCTGGTGGGTGACACAGCCAGGCAGTCGTGTGTGATTCTCTTTCAACTGTTCCTATGCGAAAGGCATGTGCTTAAGGCTATTTCAAGTACCTTATAACATGTGTCTGTCGAGTTAAGATCTTTTCCAACATCCTATGCAATTATTTGAGAATGGAAAGGGGAAAGAAGTGATTGCAGGAAATGAGAATTTTGATTCCAGAGTTATGACACAGAAGGGTTCTTGCGGTTGCTTTGTGTCTGACATAGAGCTCCCATATAACTGAGAATGACCCTGATTTTCTAATCCTCCTGCCTCCAGCTCCACAGTGTTGTGATTATAGATTACAGATGTACCATCATCCTCAGTTTATAGAGTTGTAGGATACTGGGGTCAAACCCCAGGCTTTGTTAGGTGAGCACTGTACCAACCAAGCTGGTAGCCATTCTCAGCCTTAGCCAATCAAGTCACTTTTTGAACTTGAATCAATATTTTAAATTGATACAATTTTTTCTTCACATAAGAAATCATAATCAAGCCAGGCGTGGTAGCGCGCACCTTTGACCCCAGCATTGTGGGAGGCAGAGGCAGCTGGATCTCTGCGAGTTCATGGCCAGCCTGGTTTACAAAACCAGTCCAGGACAGCCAAGGTTACACAGAAACCCTGTCTCGAAAACCAAAAAGGAAAGAAATCATATCATACTCCACAAAAAAGTAATAGCGGGGTGCCATTGTTCTTTTGGGGTCCAGGTCAGCACCCAGGTTTGGAGCCTACTTTCCCATCCTAGTCCCCGCACCTCTGAAATGTGGACAATACTGACACTTGACTCATGCAGAACGGTGGAGGGGTGACAGTGGGCCCAGCAGGGAATCTGGTGCTGGGAGTCTGAGGGTCCCAGGCAGGAGGAAGTGGATGAGAAACAGGCAGGCAGGTGACACCAGAAAACTGCTTCAAGGAAATTCCCTGGGAAGACCCAGCCCAGCCCTCTACTTGCAATTGTTAAAGGCCTGCCAAAGGATAGCCAGGAAAGAGCTCCAGGTCACTTTGTGATGTAAACTAACCCTTGGCAGGTGGCTCCCAGCCCAACCCAGGG